GGGCGGGTGGGGCAGGAGAGTGGGATCTTATCGCCTAACCGCGCTGTTTCGCACTGCTCCGTGTCGGGCCTGGCAGCTCCGGCCGAGTGCGGCCTGCGCAGGCCCTGCCGTGACTCTTAGCGGGGGTTGCGGGCGTGCTTGCCTGTGCCTTCCTGGTAGGGGAACAGGGGAAAAGCACAGCTGGCTACCTCGCTGGGAGGGTTTAATGTCGCTAGTTTCTTTTAAGATGTTCTTTTCGTTTTCTCCTTTGATTTAGTTCTTTAGCTTACTTTCTTTAATTTTTTACTGATACGGGAAGCTTTTGCTTATAGTTGTGAGACGTTAGCACGATCAGAGCGGTAACATCTCTCTTCTGTTTAGCATTACTGCTGGAGGTGTAATGGACGTTAACACCGCCCTGCAAGAAGTGCTGAAGACTGCACTTATCCATGATGGCCTAGCTCGTGGTATTCGTGAAGCAGCCAAAGCCTTGGACAAGTAAGCGTTGTTCTAATTTGTCTATGGTGAATAGCAAAACTGGGTGAGATATGCTCTATTGAGGTATGTTGGATACATATGGGGCTCACTTTGTCCAGATGTTTAGTTGTAAGCTTTTGCAGGAATGTTCTTTTTTGCCAGTGAGTTTAGCTGCCTCTCTTCTGGGATCTTTAATTGTGAAGTACAGATGCTAAATTTGGTGACTCAAGAATAGCAGTGTCTAGTATATTACGTTCTGAACTTTTGTGATTCCATTGCCATCAAGTTTTCATATGAATTGGTTTTGTGAAGAAAATGGAATGATGCTTGGGGTATGCAAGTATGGAGATCTAGGACTCAAGAACTTTTAAGAAATTATAAACTCTCCTCAAAAATTCTAAAGAATTTTAATTGGAGGGTTAATGTGTGCGTCAGACTTAACCTGGAAGAGTTGGTTTAGTTTTTATGGAGAAAAACTGAAATTCATAGCTTGTATTTACTTTTTTTGCTAGCTTCTTTTTTTTTGGGTTGCAGCTGTAAATAATTGCTTTGGTACAGTATCAAAACAGTATTAAACTTGTCATATATGTGCTGACCATAATAATTAGTTACCATTTCTCAGTAGAGTGAAGTGCTATATATGTATCTCCATATTTACATAGCTGTCTGTGTCTATAAATAGGCATATATTTAAAAAATAGTGCTTAAGAGTAATGCTACAGTGTTTGGGTGATGATTTAACAATTTGTCGGATACCCCTTCACTCCTCTTATGAGTGAGAACATCAGTCTGACAAACCTGTATGCAAAAAGCTCTGTGATGAGTTACCAAATAATGGAGGAGAAGTACAACTTGTAAGACTTGACAGGTGGTTTGTAAGAGTTCTTTTGAGTTCAGCTGCAACTTTGTATGCTGTGTATTAAGCCTCGTACATACATCATCTTCTTTATATATGTTTGTGGTGGTTCTTGCTTGGAAATGTTTCTGAAGCATTCTGGTGAAACTCGTGATGAAAAAGGCCCTTGAGAAAACTGTCTTTGTTTGCAGTGGTCAGATTGCAGTAGGTTAAACAAAAGACCTACACAGCTCTTTCTGTTGTCAGGTATCCGTTTGGTATTCTTAACATTGTACCACGGTATAGAAAGAGCCTAATTAGAATTGGGGCCCTGTCATAACAGCTTCTTTGAACGTAAGTAGAAAAGATTGTTCTTGAAGAGCTTTTAACAACTTTGACATGGAAATTCAAGCTTTTAATTATTACAATTCTAATGTTTTTTCTTGTTTACCTCAGATTACAGTGACTTGGTGCCTTTCTAATCGAGACGCCTGTTCTTTATGGGACCAGGTTTTTATCCAGTCATTACACCTTTTTCTCAGTGGCTGAGAATTTAGTGGGATTTGTAGAAAATTCTAAAACTAGAATACAATCTAATAATGAAGCTAACAATGTATGAGTAGTCTTATGTATATGAAAAACAAAAGAAGTAGTAGATCACAGCAAAAGTGTATTTAGTATTTCAAAAGCATATGGTGTCTCAAAACTGAAAATTAAACTTAGTGGTTGTCTAGAAATGCACATGCTGAAATTGGTTCTTCGTGGTTTTGATTATTAAAGCTTAAACAGCATCTGAAGTTACATTTCAGTTTTCATTTTGTTTTTTAGACGCCAAGCCCATCTTTGTGTTCTGGCTTCAAATTGTGATGAACCCACATATGTAAAGTTAGTTGAAGCACTTTGTGCAGAACATCAGATCAACCTAATTAAGGTGAGTGTTGGAACTTCACACACGTTTGAAGGCTGCTTATTTCAGCACGTAGAGAACTGAACCTTTGAAACACTATGCTGCAATTCTGTATAGGACTAAGGTAAAATTTTCTCTTAGCAAGAGAGATTGTCTTAGTTGTGTGATTGTCATAGAAGCAGTACAAAAACTGTGGATGTAAATGGCAAAGGATGTATATAATGTATTTTACAAAGTTAAAATGAGGTTTATGTCCTGTGTAATAAGTTAATGCTGCAAGTGATTGTGGAGCATAGAAGTCTCCACGTGGCTTTTTATTTAAATTAAAATACAAGCTGTACAATGATGATACTTTGGCTCCCTCTACTGATAGTTGTGAGGAAAGCAGCCATCCGTTACCCAATACTTCTGAGAGTACAGCGGCTTTTTTGCTGAACCCAGTTATGTTAGAAATGGCTAGTTCTAATGCAATGCAATGTTTTACACAGGTTGATGACAACAAGAAACTGGGTGAATGGGTAGGTCTCTGCAAGATCGACAGAGAAGGAAAGCCTCGCAAAGTAGTGGGCTGCAGTTGTGTGGTTGTCAAAGTAAGATGATGATAATTATTGTTTGTTTCTTGACTTTTGAAAATAAGGAAACAAGATAAGGTTGCCATAGATAAGACTACTAAACAGAGCTCTTAGATTTTTATTTTTTTAAAGCTGTTGCTTTCCATTGCTGATAGTGAAAATAAACTGCTTCACTGTTCTGTATTCTCTTCAATATTTATTTTAAATGCTCATACTCATTTTGTGTCTTAATTCTTGTGTCCTTAAAGTATCTATGCCCACTTGTCAGTAAGCGTTAAAGGAAAGACTGTTGAACTAAAAGAGTTTTGCTTAGGAAAAAAATGCCAGTTCAAAGTATCTGCTCAACTTAAAAATGTTTAGCAGAGCATATTTTAAAATAACACTGGTAAAGTAAAGCCACAGTACGAGCCTTGAAGACACTGTTGTCTTTGAGGTCCCAAGTGATGGCTACATCTTTGCAATAAAGACTTAATGCCTTCTGCATCTATTTTCATATTCTTGCCACTGTTTCACGTAGTTGACTTGCTTTATCAGAAATGAAGACTTGGTTTGGATCCATACCAATGGGTGTTACATTGTTGAATGAAATAGAATAGTCCTTTATTAGAATAGTCTTTTTTTTTTTTTGGAGAACAAAGGGAAAGCAGCTGGCAGGTTGTTTGAGGTTACTTGAATGGAATTTTGGGAATATTTGGAAATGCCTTGATTAAAAATGTCAGAATCTGTTGTCCTTTTAAAAATAGGTTGTAAAATTTTGAGTGGGTCTGTGTTACTAATGTATTGTCTTGTGTTACAGGACTATGGCAAGGAATCTCAGGCCAAAGATGTCATCGAAGAGTACTTCAAGTGCAAGAAATGAATGGCAAATAAATTTTGAACCTGACTAGCGTGTCTGTGTGATTAATGGGTGGGTATCTGTGGAACAGTTCTTTGATTTGCAAAGGGTAACAGAAGATGAAAAAGGACTTTGCAGGTGTTGGTGTAGTTTTAGTATGTTAACTCTGTCAGCTTGATAAAAAGATAATGGCAACCCCTGCCATTCCTCTTCTAGGATTTATCTTCCTATTTTGTCCTACCCTAGATCTTACCACCTTAAGAATGAGGCGCAGCTTCGCAGTTGCAAAAACTGGTATTTTATTACTGCCTTGGATTGGCAGTGTTTAGGATTATATTTGAGGAAAGTATGGAGGAGTACTGCATCTGTGATGAAAATTTGGCTCCCTCAACTGAAGGAAATGAGGAGAATGGCCTTTACCGTTACCCAGATCTTCTGAGATGTAGGAATTTTTTTAATGCTATCTGAATTTATTCAGGGAACTTACTTGCCACAAGGTGTGTTTTCTTCTTGTCCCCCCCACTCAGTTCTAAAGCAAATTATGGGTAGAATAAGCTTCTTACAAGAAGTATTGTCATGTACTTAGAGATCTGATTCTCTAGGATTTCTCAGTAAAGGTAACCAAGTAGTTGATCTCACTGCTTGAACAAGGCAGTGTTGGACTCTGACTTGCCTAGTGTCTTGGTTTCTCTAGTAGCTGGATCACATACAGAACTCATTTTTTGTCAAATTTTTTGCTTTTTGACAGTAAGATGGGGTTGGGACTGGATTTCAAGATTATTTCCTTTTCTCCTGGAAGTTGTCTTAAGTCTTGTGTTTTCTGTGAAGCAGGTCTAATTGGAGTCATAAGGAATAGCTTCATTATCCTGATAAGGAGGGCATAAATGTAATAAGTGGGGCTGGGCACCTGTAGGCTGAGGAGATGGGAATGCATATTTCTGTTTATTTTGCGGGCTCTTCATCTTGAGTTGTCATTATCGTTTGTAACCTCTTTTTTGGCATTCCCAGTCATTCAGGTAGTGTAGAGGCAGGCAGCTTCTCTAGATGCTGGGCTCAGATAAACACACTTGCAGTTCTCATGAAAGCTCTTGAAGTGTCTAGCTTTTTGCCCTGTTACAGCGCTTCTAGTAGCTGGGACCTGGGTGACTGATTTTTGCAGGGTTCCTATAGTAGCCTTTTAAGATGTACTTTAATGGAGTTACTTTTTCCATGTAGAACAAGAAATGTATCCTTGTGTTGAACTTAAATATTATGTTCAGTCCTGTCTGAATTTTTTAGTAGAGGAGTTGAACAGTGGCTTTTAACAGTTTGGTTAATGTCAAGCTAATAGAGGTAAGTTCTTAACACAAGTGTATGAATATTACCATTTTCCATTTTGGTGTTTTATACTATAGTTGAAATTACAAAAATTCACTTCTGTAGATGTGAGTCTTAGTTGCAGATCTTCATTAAATTACTGGAGAGTAGGAATAGTTTGTAAGAATACTCCTTTTCAAATGGAGTTGGAAGACACTATTGAAAAACTCGAGTTTGGCTAATAATATTGAGTATCTGACTCGTAAAGAAGCACTCCAAAGCACATGTCATCTTTTGTCCTGTCTTAGGAAGCTGCATCTTCCAAGAGTTTTGGATAAAATACACTTAACACTATTAGTTTTGTGTTCTTGTAATGCTTGCAGCTACGTTCTGGAGAAACAAATTTTTCTGAAATGATGGTAGTGATAGCAGTCTATTAAGATCTATCATTTGATTTTTCCTTGGCTGGCTCTGTTATCAGAGTTAAATTCACAAAGGGAATTGGGATCCAAAACTGTAGCTCAGTACCTGGGTTCAATGGCCTGTGTGTTGCTGAGGTTGAAAATTGTTTCTTAATTGAACATGCTTCTGTACCAGAACACTTTTTACCTACTAGAATTAAAGTCACCGTAATTTCTTGCATCTCTGGACACAGGGTAACAAATGTGCAATTGAAGAAGCTTCTCCAATGTAGTGGGTGAGGATTTTTTAAAAAGATAAAATCTAGATTTATATTCTCAAATCTGAGGAAATCTTTGCTAAACCTGTACAAGCAAACAGCTTTTCCAGGTGGTGGTTTTTTGTTTTTCTTTAAATACTGTAAATTTTTGTTGTTGAGGGTGGTTTGTCTTTTTTTTAAACACAAAATGACCCAGGAGAATGGGGAAGAGAATGGTCCCTGATTCAGACACTTCAATGACTACAAAGGGAGTTTAAGCAAGTAAATTATAGATATTTACCTTCTGGATGTCTGTGTGAAGTTAACTTGCTCAAGGCTTTAGGGCTGCTTAATATGGTTGCTATTATATATTGGGCAAACAATAGATAATTTCTTTTAAACTGGGTTTCCGCTTCTAGTGAAAATTTAGCTTGAGGTCAGGTCAATATGGAAAATTTCTGCTGGTACAACTTTTCTCATAAATGTGATTGTATCTTGTAATTCAAGGCACTGACACCAACAAACACTGAAGTTTCAGGGGGTCTGTTTCTTAATTTGTAGTTGAGGGGGTGGAAATGAGAAGGATATTGGTGGAAAAGGAAAGAGGAAATGTTTGTATCCAAGTGAATTGTAATTCTGAGATGAAGTGAAAGGGAAAGAACTATTGCTGAAAAGGGTGAGTAAAAATAAAGGTGATAACCTGTTGCTTTAAGTAAATTCTGTAGAAGTAGGCTGGCTTTTACATCTTTACCTCCCACACTCTCAGAGTGTGGAAGTCTGTTTACTTTGTGTTGTGTATTTAATAACTGAAATGGTTCTCCTTTCTACTTCCCTCAGTATTACTTTATGGAGAAAGCTAGTTCAAAGTAATATGCTGCATTCCAGTATCATCACTGGAGTTCCTGTCCACACTGTAGATTATTTCTTACCTTGGGGTTGCATTTTAGGAATGAGGTTGTAGTAATGGAGTTGCATGGCCAACACATGGAAGAGCATCTATCCATAAGGACAGTCTACAGCAATGTGAGGAGATAACTTCCTAATTCAAGGCATATTTCTTTACAGTGCTTCAGAGGAAGATCATTGAGAAATAGGATATGCTGGTTCAATAAAAATCTGTGAGCCTACACAATCTACAAGGGTTTCAGTAAGATTATATTCATTTGGTTAGGCTAGAATAGTACCATAGCACCAGTTTAAGATTCATGCTAAATACAGGCAAGAGAGCTGTTTTAATGTATTTGGAGTTAGTATGCTCTATGTGGGGAAGATGCACACTGACTATAGTTGCATAAGACTTAAGAATTGTTAACACATTGCAAATTGATATGTTTAGCAAGGTTATCAGTCTTAGCTATAATGTAAATAGGTCGTTAAGGAGTTTTACATATTTTAAAACTGCAATTTTGGAAGAATTCAGCACACTTCAACTATTTAACTTAACAGAATATTCTACTTAATTGAATGCATTTAAACTTTATTTTCAGATAATTCTTTTGGGGTGGGGGAGGAATATCTTAATCTTCAAAATGGTTTGTGTGTTTCATTTATACTATGGGATATTGGTATTGCTGCTTCAGCAGTAGCTGGGTTATGCAGTTCCTCTTAATTGCTATCAAGTATGATCAGTTAAGCCTTCAGAAAAGGGGTTCAAGTAAGAAGAGCTGTAGTCCAGGAGCAAGTTTGTTTGGTGGTGTTCCTTTTGCAAAAATTGAATGAAACTTCAGTGTAAGTTCAGGGCGATGATTTTTATATAAGTCACCTGATCATTTTACATGGCAATGATATTAATACTAGGGAATAACTCTTTCGTGCCAAGGTTTTTTCCATTGGAATAGAACCAACACTTCCTAAATATTTTTGCCAAAAGGAATTGAATGAGGGAGTTGAAGAAACCTTGGGAAACATTGTATTGCTTATCACTTACTACTGTGCAAATTGGGTAAAGCAGAGAGCCTTGCTGATAAGAACCAGAGAACTGTCTCCAGAACTGAAACTGACCCTGTGGTTTGGACAAGAGCCAGAAAACAACTGAGTTGGCACAAAAGGAAAAGATTACTAGCGGTGATAAAGAGGACCCTTTTGTCTTCATCCCCCATGCCCCTCCACGACCACCACCAGGAGACACTGCACAAGCACAAACCGGAAGACTTCTTGGACCTAATTTTAATACGAAGCGGGGATAGGTCATGCATATGTAAAGGCGTATTGAGAAACTTTATGAATATGTAACACTTTGCAGTGAGGAACTGCAGCGCCCGGCGCACACGATTTGGAGGAACATCCCCCATGCCGCCCAGCGCTGAATAAAACATACCAACTTTACAATCCTACAGATTGTGGAGGTTGGTTTTGGATCTGCATGTCAGAATTGGGTTGAGATCTTAATTTTCTGATTAGAATGCTTAGGTACCAAGTTAGGGTTTTTCCTGTGATGTTTTGTTTCCTGGAAGTGGCCTTGGAAAACTGATTAAGATGCAGTTTACGAAGTACTTACAATACCTTATACTTAAGACTGTTCCTGGTGTTTGGTTTATTTTAAAAGTCTTCCTGAGAACTAAATTTCACCCAGAATTTCTGATCTTGTGAAACAGGGAAAATGCAGAATGGTTTGTACGTATCTGTATATATTTCATTATTTTCCAATTTACATTATTATCCTGTAGTATTAGTATTATTGTTTTATTAAAAGTTAGTTTTATTTTCCAACCTGTAAAGTCTCTCTCCCTTATTTTCTTTTCCCTTCCCTTCAGGAGAGGGGAAAGGGGTTAATAGAGAGCGTCTGTCCAGGATTTAGTGGCTGGCCCAGCCCTTAAACTATAACAATGGCAAATTATATTATCAATAGTTTCAGACAAATAAATATGCAGGGGTTTTGTTTTTTTTGTTCATTTTAAGCCATTGGTCATCAAGTAAATGTTTATTTTGAACAAACTGAGTAGATGAAGGGGTTAGGATGCTCTTGTATCTAAGCGATCCTACACATATTCAAAATTTTCTCATGTATCAGCATTATTTTTGAATGAAGGTCTACCTACAAAAACCCCTAAACCCATGTTAACTGCTTCATGTAGCTGATCTGCTGTAAATGATGATATAAT